TTCCTCTCCAGAGAGATATCCAATAGAAATAAATATTTAAAAGATGCAGCTCATGAGAATTAAAATGTACTTTTGGAGTAGAATGCTAGGGATCACCTTAGAAATAAGAATTAAGTAGGGAAAAAAAAACCACCCAACAATTTGATATTATTAAGGCTATTTTTCCTTGCAGTTTACGTGTAATGTGTATTCTCTGGATAGTTTGTCAAATGTTTCTTTGGTTTGCTTTAGCAAAGAGCAGTGCTGACAGAAAAACTGCAGTGAAAAAGTGTGAAACCAGCTTACAACATAGATATATGTAAAGCAATTTGTTATTTGTTTCCAGCATGTTTGGAATTGACTCAATGTAGTGCACACATGAGGGAGGGTATTCAACACGAGTAAAAATACTCATAAAATCTTTGTTCATCACAGTACGTAATGGTCCTGAAAGTGGCAGCAAAGTTATGGTTCAGTTTCCACGGAGTCAGTGCAAAGATCTCCCCAAGGGCGACGTACTGCAGGACAACAAATGGAACCATCTTCGAGGGCCCTTCAAGGAAGTCCAGTGGAATAAAATGGAAGGGCGCAACTTCGTGTATAAAATGGAGCTGCTCATGGCAGCCCTAACTCCATGCTGATCATCTCTCAGTCTCTTCGTGGGGTCTCTGAGTCATTGCTGTGCTGCCTGTGCAACAGAGGATAATTCAGCCAGTGGGGCTGGGCTATACAAGAAAACAAAACCAAATTTATTTCCTGTACAGATGCATCTGTTGTAGGGTTTTTAATAAAGCATTATCAATGATGTGCGATACAACTTTTTCCCAAAGTTCCTTTCAGCTGTACCTTTGCAGGCTGCTCTATCTAAACCAACATACCTGAGTGATTATTGTATTTTTCTTCTATAAAGAGAAATTCAGGAGTCCTTTGTTGTATGAAAGGTGCCTGCTGAAAATGACACTCTTTCCTTCCCAGCCTCTGCTTTTTCTGAACAGATTTTTACAAATGTTTCTGACAAAAAGAGAATTCTGACATAAGCTGGGCAACTGATAAACCTTTTAGTGGCTTATGTCACAAGGACAGTACCACTGCTTAAATTTCAAGTTACAAGTCTTCAGTGTGTGATGTTCTTGGCTTAGGGGTTGAGGGAATACCTCAGTGCTACGTTGATGTGGCTCTGGGTCACACACTGAATTTCTTGTGGAGAGGCACAGCAGTGTTGAGGGTTATAAAGTCACAGCTTGTGACGTGGCTGTAGATGACTTTATGCAGTTTATGTTACTTTGCTTGCAATTTCTGTTGTTTGCAAGCTTGTAGAGGAAATGATCTTTACCTACACGTAAAATTCTCCTGCCAGTTTGAAGTTTTGTGTAACTTTTTTTGTGTAAAGTCGTGTCTAGAAAGAACAGACTGGGAAGAGAGGAAGAGCAGGTAACTCATGCAGTAAGCCTTGGATCTCCATAGTCATCCTGTTCTTTGTTTTCTGCCCTGGCATTCACTGCCATTCAGAAAAATGATAGTATTCTCTTAGAGGTCAGCTCCCTTGAGGTCTTCAAGAGGTAATTTTGTTTGTTTCTCTTTCTTTGTTGTAATTATAGCTGCCTTGATGTTTCTACTAAAGTTTTGCCCAGTTTTCCTTTTGTTCTGTCATTAATGGCTAAAGGTCTTTTTGAAACTGGTCTGTGTAAGCTGGTTAAGACTTTCATCCATATTGTGTTACAAGGTGTGTATATATATACAGACATAGAACTTTTTGCACATAGAACATGCTTGAATTAAACATCATACTTCTGTAGTGACAGTTGTTCTTTTGCTATGTTCTTGAGCAATATGAAATAGCTGTTAGAGATACCTATTAAGCAACTGTTTTTGGCAAGCTGCTGTTTAGTGTGTATCCAAAGCAGCTATTATACTGTGTTGAAATTTTCCATTGTGGAACATACTGTTATTTCAGTTCCTTGAAGTTCTTACTTATGTGCAAGTGAACTGTGGGAGAGAAAGGCATTTCTCATAAGGTGTCTTGGATAATTCATGAAATTGCAAAAATAATGGTTGAAAATAGCACACAGGTCTCTTGATCATCTCGAGGTGGGTGAATCTTAAGCAACTGCCTGTTCCCATATTGCTTGGCTGGCAGGTGGGGTTTTGCTCCTTACTGAACAGCGGGTGGCAGTGCAGCTCCCAGCCTGATGCACATCGTGCACCTGACTGCAGTGAAGCTCTTGTGACTCTTGGCAGCACAACAAATCTTACCCAAAATCAGATGTATGTATGAAAAATTAATTAAATTGAACTGTATACTTCACTGTTTTCAAACTAAACTGACAAGTCCACATGGAGCAGTGGCCTTTTTGCCAAAGAAGCACTTCATTACCAAATAATCACTTTGGTGCTATTAAGTTGTCACGTTTGCTCTCACAGAATCACAGAATGGCCAGGGTTGGAAGGGACTTCAAGGATCACGAATCTCCAACTCCCCTGCCACATGCAGGGCCACCAACCTCCCTGTTTAATACTTGACCAGACTGTCCAGGGCCCCATCCAATCTGGCCTCCATGGACGGGGCATCCACAACCTCTCAGGGCAGCCTGTTCCAGCACCTCACCACTCTCATAGTAAAGAACTTCCCCCTGATATTCAACCTAAATCTCCCCTCTCTCAACTTAAAACCATTTCCCCTCATCCTGCAGTTATCAACCTTTTCAAAGAGTTGATTCCCCTCCTGTTTGTAGGCTCCCTTTAGGTACTGAAATGCTGCAGTGAGGTCACCCTGCAGCCTTCTTTTCTGCAGACTGAACAAGCCCAGCTCCCTCAGCCTGTCTTCATAGGGGAGGTGCTCCAGCCCTCCACTGGACCCTCTCCAACAGCTCCCTGTCTTTCTTGTACTGGAGGCTCCAGACCTGTACACAGTACTGCAGTTGGGGCCTCACAAGAGCAGAGTAGAGAGGGACAATCACCTCCCTGTCCCTGCTGGCCACCCTTCTGCTGATGGAGCCCAGGATACCATTTGCTTTCTGAGCCACAAGAGCACGCTGCTGGCTCATGTTAAGCTTGTCATCCACCAGGACCCCCAGGTCGTTCTCTGCAGGGCTCTACTATGCTAGCTGGAAACTGCTCTTTGTAAGGGTTTCCAGTGGTCACTAACTACTTCATTCCAACTTTCAAGTCAGGGCATTCATGCCAGCATACATTTTCTGACTTGTCTCATTCATTCAAGTAAATGTCTGTAGGCAAGAAATGATTTTAAATGTGAGCTGCTCTTATCATATTTTCTAAGCAACTCTAGATACGTGCTCAGCTAAGCCTATTCACTTCATGTTCTAAGATTTGGGAATTAAAAGTAATAAACAGAAATAGGTATGCAGAAATAAAAGTATTCTGTATGCTACATTCATACCTTTCAGAGTACTTCAAACTTGAAGAAGTTAAAGGGAACACTTTCAGCTTCTGTGTCACCTAGGTTTAATTCAGTCAGACATGCAGAGGACTGGCAATACATACTTAGTGTGAAGAACTGGAACAAATTGTTTTCGTTGAACTGTCTTTTATCTGGGATTTTCATTTATTTTTCAGTTTCTTACTGTAGGAAGGAGCAACCAGCTGAATCTAACACCTGAATTAATGAGGGGGTGCAAGGCCCTTTGCACTGCAAATGGCCAGTTCAGTCTGGGGCTGACTTTTCAGAAGTGTTGTGTTCCAAGTGCTTTGGAAAAAGCCTTTGTGGCTCCTATCTGTATTGTTATGCACCTGATAGGAAATTCTTTGTTCACATGGATCAAACCTGTGGTACCTCAGCTGCTGAGCACAGCTGTCCTTGAGAAGAGGGAAACTGTCACCTGGTGGTGGATGACCCACGCCTGGAGACACTCAAGGTCAGACTGGATGGGGCTCTGAGCACCTGATCAAGCTGTAGATATCCCTGTTCATTGCAGGGGAGGTTGGACCAGATGGCCTGCAAGGTCCCTTCCAACTCAAACAACTCTATGATTCTATGACTCGTAAAAGCTTTATGAGGTGAGGGAGCTGAAGTGTGGAAGAGGCAGTAGCAGCAGTTAAGCTCAAAAAGCCATGTGGCTCCTGTAGACACAGACTGGCCCTTGGTCTCTTATATTTTCAATGTTCTGCCACTCTACTGGTGTGGGGTCAGTTTTTTATCCTCCAATCATTTCAGACAGCATCATCTTCAGAGCCTGTGCACAGTTCCTTGTTCGACAGCCTTTCCTAGTAATGTCATAAAATGTGTGTTCATGTCCCAGTGTAAACAACTGGAAGCATAAGCAGAGGAACTTTGACCATCTTGGCATTATTTCAATGTCAGTTTTGTCTCAGAGAGAATTACAGCTTGTGTTCAGAGCTTTGGGAAATTCCTCATGACTGAAAGTAGCAGCACGTGCATAATAAACAGGATCCAACCCTTGCAGTTAATTTTTTAATGTAATACTGTAATTAGACATGAAATTTATTATGTAGAGCGATCCTAATGGCTATTCTGTGTATAACAGGGGACTTGCTTAGCCAAAATGCAAGTGTCCTTCAGGAACACTATCATTTTCTTACAGGTAGATATTACTGGTTGGATGTTTTTAGGAGTGGCAGAGGCTGTGGATTTTATTAGTTAGCCACAAAAATGTGTTTGTGCTCAGCCATGAACACGTACTCTGCCTAGCAGAGCTGAAATCGTAACAGGTCAAAACAACTCCATCAGACACTGCTGATTTCAGGTCCAGTATTAGCTCTGTAAGTCAGGAATTTTTTATGCTAGTCACAAATACTTTACCTTTTAGGTTCCTTCTTGCTTTTCTTGCCAATACTTTCTCCTGAGGTAGAGTTGTTATTTTTGTTATAAGACAGTCCTTGGTTAACACTCGATGGTTTCCAATTCAATTTCTTCAGTTGTACTTGCTGCAAATGAAAGGATGAAATTATTGATTGGCAAATGGATGGGAAGGTCAGCATTGCAAAATTAACAACTCCATGTTAATAGCTGAGGCATTTTTAATATTAACTCCAGTTTACTCATCTAGAATTTGGTTTTAAGTACATCTTTTCAAAATATTTGACCACACAATAAGTCCCTCAAAACCCTGAATGTGACAGTGGCTGTCAAGTACAAGACAAAAAGCACTATGAAAAGTGAAACAAAGTCCACAGGGCTCCATGACTTCCAAAGGAGGGCTCTCCTAAAGTGGGACTGAGACATAAGTCATTGGATCCTGTTCTGGATGATGACAGAGCAAGTCTCCAGAACTGAAGTATTCCTGAAGTCTGCCAAGGAGTGCACTGAATTCAGACTTTGAAGAACTCTTGCTGCATAGGAAAATTGGCTTTAACTGGAGGAAGGAGAGGCTTTACCAAACTCTGTATTCTGGCATGGTAAGAACATTTTCAGTTAGCTACAGAAGCTCATGAGCTGTGCGTCCACTGTGAAAAAACAGCAGCAGCTAACAATGTAGGGAAGAGTTCTCTGGTTTCTGATATAAAATATAAGGTGGATGTCCTGTGGATCTTTTCCAATTAAATACTTATTATTCAGTTGCCTGTGTTAGTAAAGAGTTAAACAGGATGACTCAGCCAAGCCCTTCCAATTTGTTTTTCTGTGTCACCGCTTCACACCTTTACAGCTCAAACCATGAGTGAGTTTCTCAAATTTCTCAGATTGGAAAAACATGTATCTTGGCTGCATTCTTAGATACCTGTTAGCTTATGTGTCTTCTTCTGGAACAGGTAGAGGGATTTGTTACACAGCCACATGAAGCAGATCAAAATGGCAGATACTGCAGCAAGAAATACAAAGAGAACCACTACGAAATGTAAATCTTCATAGATAATCTCTGCAAAAAGGGCAGAAATGCGTGATGTTACGAAATTGCTTAAGAGCAGGTTAGTGTTTAAACACAGGGTAAGGCTAAGAACTCCCATGAGGTTCATACCATAAACATTGAGTATGATGGTGCCGTAGGTGTTGGTTCCATACTCCTCTGTGACTGTGATAAAATAGTAGCCAGCATCTCTCATGCCCACGTTCAGAAGCTGTATAGAACCATTTTCAAAAGTAGTCACTCTGTCCTTGTAGGCGTTGGATATGTTGATGTAATTCCCACTTTTCCACTCCACAATTTTGGTGGTGCCCCAGCTCGACACATGTTTCCACTCCACAGTGGCAATGCCTCTACAGGAGTACTCAACTGAGAGGAGGATGTTTTGTGCCACTGTTGCGTTGATGTTGGGCTGTGGGACAATTAATGACACTCCTCCAGGAGCTGAAAGACAAAGGGGGGCAATGAGTGCAGGAGGGATGCAGCAGTTGAGTATCCTGGGCAGGGTGGGACCTCTTGGGAGGGCAATTCATCCTATCTTAGTGATTTCAGGACAGGAGTTGCTCTCTCTGTTGACCACAGTAGGAATACACGTGTCTAACTTAAGACTAAATACATGTTTTATTTGGTTGTAGTCAGGAGGAATGTTTGTATCCTACAGGACAAGTAACAGCTTATGTTTCAGTGTTTCGAGGAACCAGTTTGGAAGGGTCTTTCTGGGAAGGAAGTGTGAAGCTCTGGTCTTTTGATTATCTCAAATGGAGAAATGGAAATCACATCATGTTCTCATAAACCTCATCCTTAGTGCATTTTATCATGTATGGGAAAAGTAGGTGCTGCACTTTCTTCATAAGCTCTCAAGGCCCTGCAACCCACCACCTCCTCAAAGGTAAATGAACTGTCTTTCATGAACAGTCCAAAGCTCCACCTCTCCTATGTCCTCCAAGTCAGTACGTTTCACAGTAATGTATTTACAACTCAATTGCCAAGCACTTAACAAACAAACAAAACAGGGATGGCATTTATGATTTCCAAAGTCAATTACAATGTTCCAGTTTATAGGGACTTCAGACAGACCAAGTCAGCCTAATGCCCCCACTAAAATGACAACAAACATTCTGAAGAAATACAAAACCTGCTTTATTTACCTCATGCTGTGGATCAAGAGTAATGCTTTTGTGTTCACCAGTAACTTGCCTTTGAAGGTTTCTAGGTTTAAAATGGAAATCTTAATTGCCATGGCCAAAGTAAGCTGTTGTATCAACTAAGCATCCCCAAAAAGCAAGCGCTGTAGCAAGCTTAAATACGTGAAGACTTGGCAAGGACTTCATCGTGTTTGCATGATGAGAGGGACACAGCAGGCTGCTGGAGATGTCATGTGGGCTTTAAATCAGAACTAATGTGTTAGCAGCGTTTGAGAGAACAGCTACATCAGGACAGTCAGCTATCTGCCAGTGCAGATAAATCACGTATCATCAGAGGGACCTCGTTGCTGTTTTGCACCAACTTCCAGGCAAAAATGTATACGAAAGAATAATTATGACACACTTCCCACTGATGTGATGATGGAGCAGCTCATAACTGCTAAACAGAACGGATCGTTTTGTTTAATGTGTAACTGCAATAGCCCTACTTGCATGAGGGTTTTCCTGCATGAGGATTTGGAAGAACAACAAACATCTGAGTTTCAATGGGCACATGCAGTTTTTGAGTTAATGGCACGTTATGACACGTAGAGAGAGGCTCAAACTGGGTTTCCTGACTGCAGAAATCAAACCAGATAAAACACAGGGGCGGCCTTTTCCTGGTTCAGCTCAGCCACCCTCATGGCATGGGCACAGCCTGACTGCTGCTGCTGAGCTGGGACCTCAGCCCTTCCCAAGACACGGCCGCTGGGATTCTCCCTCTGTGGGTTCTCACCGTGCTCACACTGCCTGCTGCCCTCCCACAGCACCCTGGCATTGTCGGCCAGGCTGTGCCCGTGTTCAGCCTGCCTTCAGCAGAGACAGAGCAGACCCGTGGAAAGAGCTTTGTGACAGATAAACAGAGCGGATGGGAACTTCTGGTAACCGCTGCAAATTGCTCTCATTGTTTTCAGTTCCCTGCGTTTATTTAAAGGCTTTTTGCTGTGTTTCTGACTAGAGCTGAGCTGACAGTCTCTCTGCAGCACCTCCTAATGCCGTGATAAAGGCAGTTCTTTCGAATATATGACTGCAAGGTAAATGTTAAAAAGATACATCCTTCCACTGAACTAGCTGCAAATACGTGAGCTCTCCACGCAGCCCACGGGGCCAAACGCAGCAACGCAAGATCTAAACACCGACGAATATTTGCGACACGCAGTCCTCCCGCTTGGATCCCAAGAGAATCGCGGCAGCCCGCAGAGCAAACATCGCACCCAGCGCCCGTAAGCGGCCACGGCGCGGCCAAGTGCGTGCAGGAGGAGGAAGGAAGGGGAGCGGGCACACTTACTCTGCAGAGCCCAGCCGGCCGCCAGGCAGAGGGTGACGGTCCCCACGATGGCACCGCGTCTCCGACAGCTCCGGAGAGATCGCATCGGAGAGCGGCCGCGGCGCCGGCATTGACCCCGCCGGGCGGGGCCCGCGAGAACGGGCTGCAGGCCTCTTCCTCGCCGCTCTCCCTCCTCTTCCTCCCCGCCGAGCCTTCCCCGCTCCTCTCCTCGCTGCCCCGATACGATCGCGGGATGCAATTGGCCGCCAAGGGAACCGCGTGGCAGAGCCCGAGCTGGAAGGGGAGGTTGTGGCCAGGTGGGGGTCGGCTCTGCTCGCACGTAACGGCGATAGGGCGAGAGGGAACGGCCTTAAGTTGCGCTACGGGAGGCTCGGGTGGGGTATTAGGAAACATTTCTTCTCGGCAAGGGGTGAGGCGCCGGCACGGGCTGCTCGGGGAGGGGGTGGAGTCACCGTCCCTGGAGGGGTTCGGGAACCGCGGAGATGTGGCACTGAGCGATGTGCGCACGGTGGGGTGAGCTGCGGTTGGACGTGGTGATCTTAGAGGTCTTTTCCAACCTTAATGACCCACAAGGATGGTCGAATCCAGCTGGCTCTACACAGAGCCACCCAAATTTGAAACCCTTTGTCTGAAGCTGAGAGAGCTGGCACTGTTCAGCCTGGAGATGAGGAGGCTCAGGGGGATCTCATAAGTACCTGAGGGGTGGCACTTATGGACAGGCTCTTGTCAGCGGTGCCCGGTGCCAGGACAGGAGGCATAGGCACAAACTGGCACACAGGAGGTTCCCTCTGACCACCAGAAGCACCTCTGTGCTGTGCAAGTGATGGAGCAGTGGCACACGTTGAGCACAGGCTGTGGAGTCTACTCCCTGGAGATCTCCCAAAGCCATCTGGACGCGGCCCTGGGCACCCTGCTCTGGGTGTCCCTGCTGGAGCAGGGGTTGGGAGCAGATGGAGTCAGAGAGCCCCCCAGCCTCAGCCATTCTGTGATTCTTTGAACAGTCTCATATGGATAAAGATGAGAGAGAGCACCTCTGTCCCCAGGAGGCAGTCACCATCTCAGATGACCGTACTGGAAAATGAGTCCGTTTCCATCGCTCCATGTCCAGCATAAGTACTGAGTTTCCCTCTCCCCTTCTGGAAGAAGCCCCCAGAAATGCTGGTCGTCCCTTCAGAAAAGCTAGGACAGTAAGAGATAGGAGAAACGGGGTTGAAAAACATGCAAGTGCCCCAATCCTGAGAATGGATCCTTGCTTTGAAATGGTCACTACCAGATGCCATATGCATCCCCTGATTGATGCAGGGGTCACAGAGAGCTCCTGCAGGAGCACAGCCCCGATACAGGAGGCAACAAAGTGGAGGTGAGAAGTGAGCCCTCAAGCTCTTAGCTCAGTCCTTGACTAGAGAGGATGCAACCTCCATGAACTCCGGGTTCAGCTTTTATTCACAATGCAATAAATTCTCCAGCTTGCCTGACACCTGCTACATCCCTGAAAGCTCAAGAAAGGGATGTCAGGTGAGGGTACAAGAGCAAGAGAGGTCAGTGAGAGCTCTGCACAAGTTTTGCACCCTGCACAGCCATGGTGCTGGCATGTCTGAGGGTCCACATCCTCTGCACAGAGCCCACAAAATACTCTCCCTCCACCACATCTGTGTGAGCTGCTCCTCTGGTTTCCCCTTCTCTCGATCAACCCAGCATTGTGCCTGTGCTGAAAATGATATTACAGCAAAAAGCAATGGGGTCCTTCCCCCACGAGAGCCCCAGTGGCAAATTTCATCCATCTCTTCATGGCAGTTTTATTCCTCAAAGCATTGAAGGTCTCATGGCGATGTGACTTTATGCCATTATCCCTATTCATTTCTTTGAGCCTTTATTAAATTGGTTTTGGGCTCTTGGCTCAATGACCTGTTTTGGCAGCGTAACATATGGGGCAAGAGCTCATATCAAATGGATTTAACTGTGAGTAATTTAAAATGTATCACACTGGTTCCATTGATTTAATTCTGTTCTGATGACAGGTGGCAGCCATGAAATTGAAATCCAGATCACGAGTGCTTCCCAGATAGTGGTAGTTTTGGCTTTGCAGCATACGGCCAGAGTTCAGTCTTGGGATAAGAAATGGGTGTTTGTTTTCAGCATCAATGATTAACAGCAAAGACATTTTTGTTCCTTCATTTTAGAGGGAAAATTATTGAACATCAAATTAAGAAAAAAACAACCAACCAAAACCAGCCAACCAAACCTGTGCTTCAAGAAACACTCTGCAGCACATGAGAAAATAATCAGTATTAAGGAAATATTTAATCAGATTCCAGGCCATAGGGCTGCTGCTGGGGACAGGGGTCAAGGAGGAAACTCAGCCTGGTTGCTCCTGCCCCAATTCCTTGTGGAGTTTCTCAAGATTCAGTTCAGCAGCTCACAGGATTTACTGCCTTAGAAGTCATTGCAAGTGCCAACTTCTACAGCAAACCGTGTGTGTGGAGGAGTTTTCACCTTCTGTCTCAGTATCCCTAATCCCTGTGAGCTGGATGGCTTGAGGAGCTTTGCAGTGCCTGATGGTAGGGGCCAGCCTGATGTGTGCCCATCTACAGGCTGAATCCCAATCTTCTTTCCCAAATAGCAAAGGGTTGAGGCTGGAGCACCCCCTCCTGTGAAGAAAGGCTGAGGGAGTTGGGCTTGTTCAGTCTGGAGAAGAGAGGGCTCTGGGGGAGATTTCATTGTGATCTTCCAGTACTTGAAGGGAGCTTACAAGCAGAAAAGAGAACAACTTTTTATAGTGATAGGACAAGGGGGAATAGCTTTAAACTGAAAGAGGAGAAGCTTAGGTTTGATGTTATGAAGAAATTCTGTACACACAAGGTGGTGAAGCCCTGGCACAGCTGCCCAGAGAGCTGTGGTGCCCCATCCCTGGAGGTGCTCAAGGCCAGCTTGGATGGGCCCTGGGCAGCCTGAGCTGGTGGGGGCAACCAGCCCATGGCAGGGGTTGGGGCTGGGTGGGCTTTGAAGTCCCTTCCAAATGAAACCTTTCTATGGTTCTGTGAGTTTCCTCCTGCATGAGAAGCATCACTTAAGGGCTCTAATGGCTTTAGAAAGGCCATCCATGCCCTCAGCAGTGTCTGAACACAGTGGTTTGTGGCCCCTGGCACAAACTGTTTGACTTCAAGGAGTTCATATAATGGCTGTTTTTTATTAACATCTAACATATTGAAAATAAGCTAACCTAATTTAACCTAGTTTAACCTAACCTAACCTTAATGCCTGAGTTGTAGCAAGCCCAGGTGATCAGTAGCCTCAGTCACCCCAAGCACCCAAAATGCAGTAGGAGAGCTCTAGCAGATGTGGCAGCTAAACCAAAGAAACTTTACAGGAAAGCTGTAAAGTGGGTCATTAATGCTGAGATTACTTACCTCGGCATATTCATCATGCATTTTCCTAACTAAGCTTTTTATTGAAATCCTGTCCTGCTGCATTCAGATGGAGGAATGATACGCTGCTCTGGCTTATGGAGGTTTCATCCATTAGTGCTGCCCTTCTGGGTGTAATTGAATCACTTTTCCAAGCAGCAGTTCTAGAGAGCACGAGCATATCAAACAATAAAGCACAGGCTGTAAGTAAGCAGTTTTTTCATGTTTAATTACAAAGTGCCCTTAAAGCAGCCAGCTCTGGGAATGACTTATAGACTTTGTGAAAGATTTTGTTTCACCATCCATGCAGCTCCAGAGACACCTGGAGAGCTTTATTGCTGCATGATTAACTCCAGTATTTATTTGATTTCCCGTTTCCATCACTTATTCCCCCTGCTTTAAAGGCTCCCCTCTCCTCTTTGCTCTCTGAGAGTCTCTCAAGTTTGTCTGCAAGGTCTGATTTTTTCTGCTGGTGTCATTAATAATGGAACAAAACCACATTAACAACTGCAACAACAGTCAGATAGGAGCCAGGAAGCTCTTTTCACTCTCTAATATGCTGCATGAGTACTCTGAAATGCTTTAGACAGAGGTTTTGTTGTTGTTGTTGTTGTGTTTTTTTTTTGCTCACCCTTTTCCTTTGATGTGTTTTTGGACAGAAGACAAAGGCCTGACCTTGCCTTTTGCTAACGAAAACAAAAAAATAAATTCCCCAGTGTTAAAAATGCACAGCAGTTCTAACCTTATGTTAGAGGCAATTTCACCACCGGAGAAAATTCAGAAAAGAAACATCACCATGGATTGGATGACATTGCATCTGCAGGGTCAGAGGCTCAGCTCCATGTCTCTTCAAGATGCTTTTGGTAGATGCAGTTGATGGGGAGGTCTGGGCCAGCAACAGAACTGTGTGCCAGAGAAACAAGGGAAAGAGGCAGCTCCCTCCTCCATATGCTGTCAGTGGTCCAGGCTTGCCTTATTCCATCCTTTTGGAAGTGGGAAGGACATTCATTGAGAGGATGGTGAGATTTCAGTCTTAAAAAATGTTCCTCCCTTCCACAGAAGATGGAAAAAAGCCCTTCAAAGTAGAAAATGGCCAAATCTTCATTAGGTGTAAACGTTTTCTTTTTGGCTGTTCACTGTTTTGGCAGATGTGTGGCACAAAAAGCCCTTCCCTCACCCCGGATGAATCAATAGCTGCAATAGGAGAGGCTCAGGGCAGTGCTGGTCTGTCAGCATTCCTCTGTTATTTGAGCTATCTGAGCTGAGTCTCTCTGCGGTTTGAGGTCTGTGGAGTTGGGAGGAAAATAGAGGAAAAGAAGAAACAAAGTGAATTTCACCTTTGAATGACATAGAAATGAATACATGAGGAAGCACAAATGCTTTCCCATTTGGAAATAACATTTATCAAATCAAAGTATCTCTAGTAGGGATGTCAGTGTGATTGCAGTGCCACTGAGTACCCTTGTGATCTTCCTTCCCTCTTCTTGGTCCAGCTCATGCACACTGCACACACCTGCAGATGATGTCTAAGACACTGGGACAAAAACCATTAAAGTGAGATGTGATTTGTACCCTACAAACCGTGCCAGGAGAAACAGCTTCACCCCAAGAAGCAGCCACTGAACCAGCCAAGGCAGTGTGACGACCTTAAAAACATACCCACACCCTGCTAAATTAGAAGAGATTCTTGTTTGTATTGAGGAGCTGGCACCCTTCCTCCTGCTTTTAGCCCCCTTCCAGTTCCAGTTGCCCGGAGGACATCAGGAAACATGGAGATGTGACATTGAGGGACATGGTTCAGTGGGCATTGTGGGGATGGGTCCATGGTTTGACTTGATGATCTTAGAGGTCTTTTCCAACTGTAAAGATTTTATGATTCTATGGATCTGCCATCAGGATGCTCCCAGATGCTGAAGGAAGGCAATGGCTGCATCCCTGCATCACTTTTACCAAAGCTGCTGTTCATTCAACAGCAAGGCTCTCACCCAACAAATGGGAAATGCAGAGCAAGTGTGGACACTTCTGGGGAGGTGGGATGGAAAGGAACAACTGGATGTCCATTTCATTTATTGTGGAATGTTAGCCCCACGAGAAACAGAAAACAAAGACAAGGTAATACCAGGAAAATAACAATATGTTTGTGGTAAAATAACAATATTTACGTTCTGGTTTGGCCATGACACCAGAAGGTCAGTAATCATATAACCCTTCACATGACATCAGTATCTGAGGTCTGAGGTTACTGTGTGTTATCTAGAAAAGAGTCTAATTAGTGTGATACCACACAAATAAAGATA